TATGTGGAAAATAATGTGTTTTTTTAACCTTAAACCGCATAAACACATTGCATTACACCAAATACACAAAATAATGTTCTTTTTAGCAACATCATATGACCCCTTTAAGTCTACCTCGTACCTAAACTTAACAACTAACTTACTAACTATTAATAAGCAGCAAATTAGGAGTTTACTGAGGCAAAAGTCATAGTTAATAGTGAGATTTGGACCTTAGAATAAAGTGTGACCAGATAAATGTTCCAAATTTGACATTATTACTGTTTCATTCTTGATGGATTAATTACAAATATTTTATTCTATTGACAGCCATTGTTTTATAGAAAAATACCTGTCATGGTGCGGTGTATGAGAAACGCACGAATACGAAGATAACGGTAAACAGTCTTTAATACATCCACATAAGGGTAATCCACATCAGGTAGGCAGGATACACACACACATAGGTAACGTTAAGACTGGACGACATGCACTGAACAGACTGGGCTTAAATACTAATGAAACAAGGATAATTAATAGAACACAGGTGAACAGAGTGACACAATCAGACACGAGGGGAAACTAGGTCACACTGAGCACATGGGGAATGAAAACACAACAAAACAGTTCATGGGTGTGACACAACCTAATAGGGCTGGGCGGTATATCGAGTTTGTACGATATATCGATCATAACATAGCAATTAAAAATGAATCACATCCTCACACTGTCACACATAGCCTACATATAGCATGAAAACAGTAACAGTAATCACATCACAAATGTAACACCCTCTAGGGCTGAGCGGTATATGAGGCAATACCGTTTATATCGATATAGTATACAGTAGTTTGATACGAGCACATCTGAAAATATAGCAGAGGACACAGACTGAGCTGCTGCGGAGAAAGTGCATAATCCAATTTGTTCTAAACATGTGACAAGCTTCATATTAAGGCCTTTAATAACTGGTAAGACATAGTGTATAGTTTCGTTTTGCATATTAGTTTAAGCGGCTCGCCCCGTCAGATGCTTGGACAGAAAGGCTGCGTGTGCTGCTGACAGAGTGTGCTGCTGACACAATAAAGTGCATGAGCCTTCTGCTTTGGGATTCTCCGCTAAACTTCACAGACTTCAGTGAACGAGCTCTGCCGCACGTATGCGCGCCAAACAGAAAGAGCTCAATTAAATAGGAGCGCAATAATTATGACTAAAATATACATTTCGCTGAAATATTTGTAGTTGGACAATAAATATGACATGCAGAATTTTAAACCTACAAGTAAGTCTATTTTTATGATAGCACTGACTGTAAAGTGACTGTAATGGGGTAATTAAAATAGCCTAACACAACTCTTGCTTTTGTTCTCATTTATTTTCATTTTTAGTTTAGTGAATTTAACTTCCGCTTTAAAAGCCTTATTTTTGTTTTTAGATTACAATGTTACAATGTTACAATGAAATGTGATTTTAACCCTTTTTTGCACATAATGTAAAGGCTTACATGGTTACATTCACTTTATTTGTTTTCATAGCCTTTAATATGTATTGTTTTGTAGGACAACATTGGGCGGTAAGTGAATATTTAATACAGATCTTTTTAATCCAAATACAAAAACGAAAATACAGAGATATACCGTATATCGCAAATCGGCAAAAAAATACAGAGATATGAATTTTTGCCCATATTGCCCAGCCCTACAACCTAATAGTAAAAATGTCCACATAACATTTATAATTCTATTTTTTATTATTTTTTACATTATAAATTGGTTTTATAAACTACAATATAAAATTTTGGAGTAAGTAAGATTTTTATTATTAAAATATTATTATTAAAAGAAATTAATACTTTTATTCAGAGGTGCATTAAATTGACCAAAATTTACATTGAAGACATTTATGTTTAATTTAAAGATTTATTTTTCAAGTTAATGTTGCTCTTTTGAACTTTCTATTTTACAAAGAATCCTGAAAAAAATATTAAGCAGCACAATTGTTTTCAACATTGCTTATAATAAAAATATTTCTTGAGCACCAAATCAGCATATTAGAATGATTACTGAAGGATCATGTGACACTAGAGTAATGGCTTAAGAAAACAAATTTTGCCATCACAGGAATACAAAGAATGCAGGAATTTCAAGGAACTTTTGACACACTTGCCACACATGCTTGTGCCGGGGGTTCGGCACCTTAACCAAGAGGGGGTCTCATTAACTCTCCAGTTTTAAACCTATGACCTTTAGGATTACCAGCTCAGACCTTTAACCATTAACCCCCATACACATACACACATAACGTCACAATCGGCAGAAAAAAGACACTCCTGCCGCCTTTAATTCAGTGTCTTACCCATATCAGACTCGGAATGTTTGATGCATTCTGCAGTGTTGACAGATCCACGTAATGTATAATTCATTTAATCAGTTTCGCTCGACATTAATCATCATTCTCATGTCAGAAAGACTAAGGCTAAGGAGTAAGCTGGGAGTCAATTCCTACACTCAGCAAATGTCAAGGGCCTCATTGCTGCTCATCGCTTTTGCACTAGTAAACACAATGAGAAGCAAACCCACTTTCCTTAAATTCTCATCAAACGTTCCATAAAAATATCTCATTGGAGGATGAAACAAGAAAATGCCAGAAACACATCATGGTTGTAGGCAGCAAGTAATATTGAGTAATATAGATATAAACAAAGCTATAATATGTAATAATAAATGGATCTTGGAATATATATAAAAAAGCACATTTTGAAAATGTTAAATAAATTAATTAATTAATTAATACATGCATACATACCCACTGTGAAACAGTATTATTGTGAAATATTACTACAATTAAATAATAACTTTTCCATTTTAATAGATTTTAAAATGTAATTTGTTCCTGTGATGCTGATTTGCTTTTTAAGAAACATTTCTTATTATTATCAATTTTGAAAACAGTTGTGCTGCTTTATATTTTAGTGGAAACCATGATACCCTTTTTCAGGATTCTTTGATGAATAAAAAGTTCACAAGAACAACATTTATTTGAAATAGAAATCGTATGTGTCAATGTAAAAATGTGTTTACTGTCACTTATGATCAATTTAATGTGTCCTTGCTGAACAAAAGTATTATTTTCTTTGAAAGGCAGCATTTATCTATCTGCCATTCAAAAGTTTGGGTCTTTAATATTTGGCCATTTCTTTAGGACAGAAATGCTATAGCCACTGTAATTAAAAGAATAATTGGACATCAAAACATGTAAACTCTGAGTGAGGGTTTGAGCTTATATTTTGAAACCGCGATGTATTCTCCTGAGTTTGCGTAGATTTATAAATGATTTACCTTACAAATCTGATGAAATGGCGCATGTTGCGTTCCCAGATGAACGTTATAATAAACCCAAAGTTTGAGACGCTCCACACATTTAAATGATAACAGTTCCTGTGGAACTACTGTGAACGCAGCCACTGTGTGACGCATGTACTTAACCTACACGCGTGGAAATAATTAAAGCGCATATACTGTATTAATTAAATCGTAGCGTTTGTGAATTCACAATTATGGATATAAACAAAGCTATAATATGTAATAATAAATGGATCTTGGAATATATATAAAAAAGCACATTTTGAAAATGTTAAATAAATTAATTAATTAATTAATACATGCATACATACCCACTGTGAAACAGTATTATTGTGAAATATTACTACAATTAAATAATAACTTTTCCATTTTAATAGATTTTAAAATGTAATTTGTTCCTGTGATGCTGATTTGCTTTTTAAGAAACATTTCTTATTATTATCAATTTTGAAAACAGTTGTGCTGCTTTATATTTTAGTGGAAACCATGATACCCTTTTTCAGGATTCTTTGATGAATAAAAAGTTCACAAGAACAACATTTATTTGAAATAGAAATCGTATGTGTCAATGTAAAAATGTGTTTACTGTCACTTATGATCAATTTAATGTGTCCTTGCTGAACAAAAGTATTATTTTCTTTGAAAGGCAGCATTTATCTATCTGCCATTCAAAAGTTTGGGATCAGTAAGATTTTTAATGTTTGAATGAAGTCGAGGATTTAAAAAAATTGAATAGTCGAATAAAATCGACGAATCGCGACAGCCCTACAATAAAGACGCAAAAATACAACAGTTGGTGACCTCACATGTATATTTTCAACCCCGATTAACCCAAGACATACAATCATCACTAAACATGACTGTGAGATGATATTACGTCAGTCTGTCGTGCTGAGCATCAAAGAAAGAAAGCTGAGACCTAGAATCACAGAACAAAGACAAGGAATCTAAAGAACTCAGTAATCTTCTTAATAAGCACCGGATCTAGCAGGAACATGTGATCC